TTGTTCCGGCCTACATGATCCGTGTGCGCTCAGAAGAGAGTTTACGAGGAAACATATTTCTATTTTTGGTTGAGTTGCAGTGTAATTATATATTTAAGTACTGTGTAATATTAATTAACACGCACTTCTATAGGGTTAGGATATGATTTGGGTTTGGTTGAGAGTTAGTTGCATGTAATTATGCATTATTTACTGTTATTATTACTATGGTAAGTACATGTAACATGTGTAACTGCTCCTTTGTGAGAAACAAATAATGCTGAAAAAAGACCAGGTGCACAAAACACACACGATACATTTAGTGTTATAGTAACATGATTTATAGGATTTATTCATATTTTGTTTTAACATCTTTGATTTATTTTTATTCAATTTAATTTTTTTATGAATTCTTTGTATTTCAACTTTAAACTCATGTAAAAGGGTTAAAAAGACCTAATGGTTAGGGTTTATAATAACAGCACTGGTTACATCATTGACTTTAACGACAAAATCATATTTCATATAAGCTGCAGATCTATTTTTAACTCTAATCCGTGTCACTGGTTAAAGTCACCAAGACTGACGCTTAAAAATAGTTTTATCTTATAAATTCTAATGTTAGAATAGAAACAAACAGGTCTGCAGAAACAGAAAATGAACTTTGCTCGATGTTGTCAAGTGCATGAACTAAAACACCAGTAACAATGAATGATAACTATTTCCTGTTTATCAGTAACCCTTTCCTGCTGATCAAGCACCTGGAAATCATTTTCTATATTTTGTGTGTGTAATTATTGCTTGTTAAGAATCTTTCAAGCCGTTCAATTCCGTCTAAAGTTTCTTGTTCTCAAAACTGTGTAAATAGTTCTGATCAAAATGCATGTTTGTTTTGTGAGTATTTTAAACGCCCTTCTTAGAGTTTGTTTTCTCTCATATATTTCATCCCAAAAGTGAAAGGCATTATATTTTTTGCATAACTATTTTAGGACCATCACATCATTTTTGACAATTAAGCACAATTGACCACACATTTTATTGCCGTAATGTCAATTTCTTTTAGTTGAAAGCATGTACGCATCATAGTCTGGACATGTTTTTGTGATTAATCCGGTAATAAGACTGGCCCAGTTGTGCACAGGAATATTTTCTTGGGTTTCCAAGTCCTCTTTTCTGAAACTTTTCATTTTGCTGAACCTAAAAAAAAATAATAATAATGAAGAAAGGCATGAAAAGAAAAAAGCTCTTATAAAAGACAGAAACTGAAACTCTTTTCTTGTCAAATCCGCCCACGTTTCCTGAATGCTCTCTCTCTCTCTCTCTCTCTCTCTCACACACACACACACACACACTCACTCTCTCTCTCCTCTAACAAAAGACCAGCCAGAGAGAAAGGTACAGGAAAAAGACTTAAACTAACCTCCCCTGTTAAAGAATACCAGACCAGTTACACATGTGGTCTCGTTAGCTAAAAATGTTGACATGGAAACCATAGCGCATACGTTACATGTGCGACATCAAAGGAAAAGAAATGACAAGAAACAGAAAGAAAAAAGCCAGATGAAAAGCTCTTGTCAGAGTCTGTTCAGTGCTCGTTGCACCGCAAATGCTTCGACCGCAGAAGTGGAAAGTTTCCATGTCGCAGGTCATAAACCGCTTCACTGTTCAGGCCTGATGTCCACTGTACAAGCGCACATGCAGTTGTTTTTAATGAATGCATTTTGGTTGCACTTTATTTCAAGGTGTCCTTGTTGCAGTGCAATTATATATTTAAGTAGGCCTACTGAGTAATATTAATTAACAAGCCTACTGAATATAGGGTTATGATTGAGGTTTGGTTGAGGGTTAGTTGCATGTCAATATGCATCATTTAATGTTATTACTAACATATGTAACAAGGACACGGTTAAATAAAGTGTTACCTGCATTTTTTTCAGCATGCTGCTAAAATAGACCCTTTTTGGGAAGCTTGTTTTTGCCACATAATAAATAAAATACAAAAGGTAATTGCAACTTTTTATCTCACAATTCAGACCTTTTTTTTTGCACTTGCAACTTTACCACAATTCTGATTAAAAAAAAGTCAATTGCGAATTACAAACCCTGAATTGTGAGATAAAAAGTTGCAATTACCTTGTATTTTTATTTTTTACCCTTTACAGTTCTGTTTTTCACATTAAAAAATATAAAAATAAAAACAAACATCACCATTCCGCCTTGTTTTTCAAGAAACACTTTTCACCATCCAATCATTTCCAGATGGACATTTTTTCTCTCAATGAACATTTTACAGATAAAAGTAAAATGACTGACTTTTGATTGCATGACTTTAGCACCGTGGCAAATCTAGAGGAGAAACATTTGAGATTACTGGGGTCTCAGGAAAAATAAAGCAGGGGACATAAAGTCTGTGTTTAATCTCATCGTGATGCAATTGTAATATTAAAGATATCGCATCATTCCTATGGAAAGTTGAACTTTTGGCCTTCTTCCTGGTGCTTTATCCAATGAAATATCAAGGTTTTGCTTGTTGCTTTATTGTAATACACACAAACAATAACACACACACAATTGCACAATGAAACGACATCTTTCCATCTCCACCACCGTATGTTTCATTAAGATTATATGACTGGGATATTCCTCGTAATGTGTGTCTCAGCACGGAATGGCGGTTCTGGTTTCCAATTGTTCAATAATGATCTATTCAACACCCGCCGCAATATGAATAAAACATAAATGGAGGGCGGCGAGGCAGTTTTACTGTATAGCTTTGCTTGTCAACTGCTTTAAAAAAAAAAAAAAAAAGCATAATATGAGAAATGTTGGTCTATACTTTTAGAATCAACCACAAAAACCGAGAGATGTCGGGTCACAGTCCACTAAAACACACCGTATGGATGTTGATTCGCAGTAAAAGCACATGAGACGTTTAGCATTCATGTTCCCTGCTGTGTGAGAGTGACTCATATGTGTTATAGCATAATGCTTTTCTCTTTCTCATTCTCATTTCTTTTATAACAGTGAAGTAACCGACCATTGCAAACAAAAGTATAGCATGTTTTCAGATCGGCCAATTACTTTAAGCATTAAGGCACATGAGGTTGTGCTGTAGCAAATATCATCAATTTGCATTATGGATGCATCATATATCGGCATCGTTATCGGCCTAGTGAGAAAATTTGGCTGATTTATTAAAGCTGGTAAATAATGTATTATTTTCTTCAGCTGAGACGCTTCAGATGCGCACTGTTCAACATGATCGGTTTAAATTGCTTGAAATATGATTGGACTCACTTCAAAAAAGGAAAATACAGTGAAGTGCAACATGTGCAGCGCAAGCCTGTCATATCGGCTACATAAAATCATAATGAGAACATTATAATTGTGTGTTTGGGACATGGATTATAATGATGAGACTTGATTTTGTAATCTTGTAATCAAAAATTATATAAAAATGTAGATTTATCGGCCGATATATCGGTTATCGGCTTTCAAGTATAAAGAATTATCGGTAAAATTTTGATATCGGTGCATCGCTAAAGGAAGTGGTTGTTATGAATGTCAATGTACATTAAAAGAAAACACCACAAATCTCTCATTTAACGTTTTTATTACGGACAAAAAAATGAAACAAAAAGGCATAGTGACACAAAATGACCTGGCTGGCAAGGAAAGAAAAAAAAAAACAGTATTCAAAAAAGTAAAAATAAAAGCAATTGTCATAATCATCATCATAATCAAAAAACAAAATAACGATAAAATTCAAATATTGTAGTTATAAGCAAAATTGATCTCATTTTGTTCATAAATAGAAACCTGTTAAACATTATTAAATATTAACTGATGGGCAACTTGCTGATAACAATTTTAAAATAATAATCATTGCTGACTTTACAAATAAAATAACTACAATTGGCAGGTTTGTACACAAATGAAATGTCGTCCAAGTTATTTATTTTATTCAACTAAAAATAGTATGCTACAGTAAAAAAAAAAAAAAAAAGATTAAAATAAAACGTTTGACTAAATGATCAAATGCATTTAATTTTAAAGATGAGATCAACACAATAGAACATCTAGCAAAAGCTACTAGAAAACTATAGACCCACTGTTGATTTAATTTACTGTGTGCTGTATTATCTCACATTGAGAACATTATAGTTCACCTTTACATGTTATATTGGTGGTTGTAATGTCAGTCAAGAAGACCAGGCAAAAGAAATGACCCGGGTTTCAATAGAACAACAACTGCGTTAGACTTGAAACGTACTCTATTCAAGTACATGATGTGAAACGTGTCTGGGTGATTCAGCGTTTTCTTCATCTACAGTCAGTCACTGTCAGGGTGGAGAAAAGATCCAATATTGCTGAACGATAAACATCTGGAAAGTGTGTTCACATCTGTGTACTTGTGTAAAGTATGTTTCTGACCTTTGACCTGAATCTGGAGGCGCCTTCAGAACCTGAGAGTAAATCAACAAATCGCTTCTTCGTCAGACCATGCGTTCGCGATCTCAGAGTCCGTTTCCAAATCAAAAATGGGGCTCCGATGAATCGTGGAGCCTAAATGGAGAGCCAGGTCATGCAGTGTGTCATGGGTTTTGCCATAGATCTTTTTTTGGGGGGGGGGATCACACCAGTGAGCACAGATTTTTAATGCAAGATTGTGTACGTGGTGTGGAAACACTCTTCTGATATCACCTGCACAGGCTGTTCACTTACACAACGCACAAATACACTCACACACACACCCATTCACACCAGCACGCATTCACAAAATACCATTTAAAATACAAATTAATGAATTATAATAAGTCATATTAAAGAAGAAAAAATATCTGGACTTCATCTTCCCAATTTGACCCCCCAAAAAGTGATATTTACAATCACACTGTGACAGATCAACAAAGACCGACACGGGTCTTTAAACTTACAAAAAGAAGTTGTATTTATCAATTTTTCCATTCTTTTTTTTTCTTTTTTCTTGTCTATGTTTTTTTTTAATTTTTTGAGTTTTGAACAACGTGTCGCCCCTCGAAAGAGACTTTTCCCTAAAGTAACAGCAGACCTGTTTTTTGGCCAAAAGAAGAGCTATGTTGCAAGCAGGAAATAAATAAAAAGTACAACGACAAAATAAAACAAAAATGAGACGAGGAGGAAAGTAACTGAGAAACTAAGAGGAGAGTTTTCCTCTGTTATAGTTAAAGCTCATTTGCCCTGAGGGCCAGTTTAATGGTAGTTTGCTTTATTTTTTTTCCTTTTCGTTTTTGTTATATACATCTTTTTTTTGTTGTTTTCTTTTAAGTTTATTCAGAGACGGGGTGAGTGCTCTCTGAGGTCTCTGGCGCAGAGGCCTGTACATTTTTAAGTGCTTGGCAAAAATGAAAGGATCACTAGTAGTCTTCAGAACGCGTACACACACACATCCTTCTAAAAACGAATGTAAAATGACACTGAGGGAAACTGATGATGTCTGGGAAGGGTGGAGAGGTGCGGGGGGGACTCCCTGGTGTTGTTTCATCTTTTCTCTTTCCGTTCTCCTTGTTTTTCTTCAAGTGAGGTAGAGTGGCTTATCCCTGCCTATCATACTGCCACTGCAAAACAATGAAGAGCAAATCAGCGTCAGGAGGAAAAATTTCACCCAAAAACAAGAATTGTGTCGTCATTCACTCACTCTCGTGTCACTCCAATATATATATATATATTTAAACACGCACACCTATAGAATGAGCTCTTAATACGCATACACCATCAGCGTTCTCACAGGTTTGCGTTTTTAAAGTTGGTGTAGAGAGAACTTAAAGGGGTAGTTCACCCAAAAATGAAAATGATTCTCCCTCGTGTCGCTCCAAGCCCGTTAGACCTCCGTTCATCTTCGGGACACAGTTTAAGATATTTTAGATTTAGTCCGAGAGCTTTCTGTCCCTCCATTGTAAATGTATGTACGGTATACTGTCCTTGTCCAGAAAGGAAATAAAGACATCATCAAAGTAGTCCATGACACACGTCAGCAGCGTCTTACGTCAGCGGCGGCACTGAACGCGGATCCACAACAGAACCCGAATACACACACACACACACACACACACACACACACACCAGACACACGTCAGCAGCGTCTTACGTCAGCGGCGGCACTGAACGCGGATCCACAACAGAACCAGAATACACACACACACACACACACACACACACACACACCAGACACACGTCAGCAGCGTCTTACGTCAGCGGCGGCACTGAACGCGGATCCACAACAGAACCCGAATACACACACACACACACACACACACACACACCAGACACACGTCAGCAGCGTCTTACGTCAGCGGCGGCACTGAACGCGGATCCACAACAGAACCAGAATACACACACACACACACACACACACACCAGACACACGTCAGCAGCGTCTTACGTCAGCAGCGGCACTGAACGCGGATCCACAACAGAACCAGAATACACACACACACACACACACACCAGACACACGTCAGCAGCGTCTTACGTCAGCAGCGGCACTGAACGCGGATCCACAACAGAACCCGAATACACACACACACACACACACACACACACCAGACACACCAGACACACGTCAGCAGCGTCTTACGTCAGCGGCGGCACTGAACAGCGGATCCACAACAGAACCAGAATACACACACACACACACGCACACACACACACACACACGCACACACACACACACACACACACACACACACCAGACACACGTCAGCAGCGTCTTACGTCAGCGGCGGCACTGAACAGCGGATCCACAACAGAACCAGAATACACACACACACACACGCACACACACACACACGCACACACACACACACACACACACACACACACACACACCAGACACACGTCAGCAGCGTCTTACGTCAGCGGCGGCACTGAAC